TCCAAAATGGGCGGTGTTACCCCCACGTACGGGCCGGTGAAAGTTTTTTGCGGGTAAGTCGCTAACTCGCGAACCAGAAAAGTTAGAAAGTTGAAATTTTAAGGGGGTGCTTCCTGACAGTTCTGGTGGCCAGTCTTAATTTATTTAGCTAGAAGCATTTGCCGAAAAAACCGCCAGTAGCGACAAAAACTGCGGGGAACTATGCAAAAAACGCATCTTCGCATAGGCAGCCCGTGCGTTGGCCAATTATTCACTTCCGAGAAAGACAAAGACACTCTCGGCCATAAAAAAACAGCAAGTCGCATTGCCAATGTGCTATATCCACTAGCGACTGAAAAAATTAAAGTCTCACTGAAAGGGAATTTTTTTAACTATTTGAAATCAACAGTATATGACGACTATCGTGTCTTTCTGCGGAATGTAAATGGTTCAGAAGGTGAGAGGAATGTTGCTCGTGAGGTAGGCGAATAGGTTGCTGAAGAGTAAGTGTTGCTGTCGAGTAGAAGATACAGCCGCAAGGATGTACGGGGCCCATTTTGGGGAAGGAGCCCGTACATGCATGTAGATTAAGTTTCCAAAGTTTCGGAATTCACAAAAATTCCTCGCAGAATAAATTGCCAGTTTATGAATATTCACAAGGAAGTCTAGCTCTGGATCCTTTACAGCAATGTTCGAGATGAATGGTGTAAAAAAAAGCATCATATTCTACAATGCTATTGCAGCCTTCCTCTGTTTTGAACTCAGCAGTGGAAGTGAAGTGAAAGTCGATTTTTTTTAGTAAACTGCACAAGCGGATGTGCCAAAATTGGTACTTGACAGTAAAATCGCACAGAGAAATAGTTAAATTTTTATGCGTTTTTGCTGTGCAGCGCTATAGCAGCTAGCGCTGCTACAGCCAGCAAAAACACATATTGTCGAGAGGTTGTGTGTGTGTGTATGTGTTCGGAAAGCGAGTGTATTTTGTCACCCACTTTCAACTCGGCAACCAGGAAAGCTGGCAGGCTGAAACTTCGGATATATATATGTTCCTACCCCGTGTGTCATCCTCCCGTTTTAAGATCTTCCCCCATACGCGCCTAACCCCGCGCACGAGATCCCCAAAGGAATTTGTTGGCGGGGAACGGTTTCGCGAACCAGGCAACGTAGAAGGCTGAAACTTTG